CGTGAGCCGTGTGCTGTGGGAATACTGCAGTGAGCCGTGTGAGTCCTGCTGCGAGCCGTGTGCTGTGGGAATCCTGCCCTGAACCGTGAGCTGTGGGAGTACATGGAGTTCCGGATGGATTACGATTAAAAACAATCTTCAAAACATTAGCACACACCTTGGAATTCTGGGTTACACTGCTGGATATTCCAGGTTACAAGGAGTTGGCTGAACATGCAACAGCTATGTTCATGCAGATTCCAACTTCATATCTGTGTGAACAAGGCTTCTCTGCTTTAGTTTTAATCAAATCAAAGAAAATGAACGTAATTTTGAATGTGGATCCACCTTATGCGGGCACACTCGAAAGTCGCCTGATGCCACGATTTCAGTTGATAGTCGACAAGTACAACAGCCAAGCCATTGAATCGCCAAAACATTCATATTAATTATACCTATGATTTTTTTAATTTATTATTAAATTATATTACGATACAAATTTGTCAATAAATACAAGTGAAACTGCTTGTTTTTTTTTATCTTTTCGCAAAAATTGGTTACGATAAGATATTGGATGAGTTTCATCATTAGGAGTGGACGACAACAAAAAAAGGTTGAATAGCAGTATTCTAAGGCATGGATTGGACATTCATTATCTTATAGGCTTGTCTTTAGATGGAGCTTCTGCTAATATATCTAAAAAGTTAATGTGGTAAAGTACTATCACGGTAATGTACATTCAGGGTACTTTGTCTGGGTATTTGCACATCAGCTGAATCTTAATATCTGCTGACCCATGGCTTGGACCTCAGTCAAGCTATTGGGCTTCCCCAGTATGAAATTAATATGCTTAAGACTGACCGGTCCAAGATTAATCAGTGTTTTCATCATACAAATGAATTCCGTTAGCAAGTCCTATAGATGACATTGGAAATTCTGAAATTGATATAGAACTCCAAGACAAATTAACAACCTTTGATAACAGTGGACATACCAATGACAGGTCCGTTTGAACACGTCAGGGAATTTTATCTACCTGTTATTGATCGACTGAGTCAGGAAAAGTCTTCCCGGTTCAATGAGAAAAATTCTGGACGCTACAAAGAACTTTGGGATCTGAATCCAAGTAACTACAGTAGTGTAACTAACTCACTGTATTATCACTGCCATGTCTTGCTGAATTAGAAGAAGAACTAGCATATTTCATGCAACTGCACTGACACTTGTCCTACTTTTATCTAAACAAGAGTATGTCTATGACTGCCAGTACCAGTCATTGGAGCAACAGTCTTTGAATCCATCCTTCTGCGAGGGCAACTGTTCAGACTGTCTGGGCTACACTCTTCAACTGACCCTTGGATATGAGTATCAGTGTAGCAGTTGCAATGCTCTTTGCAAGTGCCTCAACGAAGTGTTTACCCTCCCTTATCTCACGTGAGAGCATTTTCAAAACTGCAGTATGTTAAGAGTCGACTGAAATCTATACTTCGTTAAGATCAGCTGGGGCTATGCAAGATGGAAACCGTCTTAATGAAGAAAATTAAACTTAAACAGTTTTACGAGAGACTTAAGAACATAAGAATGGAGGAAACTGCAGCGGGCCTATTGGCCCATGCACTGGGAAGTCCACATTTACACCCAACCTCTATCTCTCATATATACGTCCATCCTATATTTGAAGCTATCTCGCGTGTTCGAGTCATAATGATGTGGTCGAGTTAAGTCTTCAGAAGTGATAAAATTGCTTATGGTTTGATTTGGGTTTCTACGCAAATTTTAGCAGGAAACATATTGTACTTTCATTTATCAAATTTTTTCCTTTCGTTTTCAAAGAAAGTTGCTATATGTTTTCTAAAGAAACATATTTCTCAAAAACCGCATTTTGTCAAATCTAAAGCTGTCTAACGACAACTGATGTGTTCCAATGGTATATGATTTTTTCGAGGCAGTTTAAAAGAAACTGGTTACTCTTATTAATTTAAAAGAATAAAAATTTATTTTCCTGAATAAGCTAATGGTTAATAAATATTTTATATAATATTAATGTTTTTCTTTGCTTCTTCCTCCCAAGATAATAAACCTGGCTACAAATACAGTGCTAGTGGGTAGAATGGACCCATCTCATACTGAAATGGTATGGCTCCCAAACAGTGCCCAGTCCGCCTGTGTGATACACCACCGCCATACTATATGTTCAATCTTTCTATTGCTAAGCCCTATCAAAGTTTATATCAATCTGACTGCAAAACTGGTGACTGTTAGATATTCCATTGATTTACTATGTAAGCGACTACATCATGTGAAGGCAATCGACAGTTCAGGAGGGACCCTTACGAGGGTATGGCCAGCCTATCCTTTGGTATACTACGGCCTAGTTTATCGATCTATAAATGAGCTGGAAACAACAGCATACGTAGACGACACAATAAATAGAACACAAACATTGCAATACCCCGTTGGCAGAATTAATGTATCAAGTCGCAGAAAATGTGTCCCACAGACCTGCATTGGAGGTGCACCTAATGATTGTCAGTAGAGAGCTGTTACTGATTAAGTGTCAAATGTCAGTTCTTATTGATACATGAAAAGACATATACAATCATACCAGAAAAAAAGGTACATCCTTTTACCTACTAACTCTAGAATACCATTTATATGATCAATCCTATGAAAGACTACTGTATACTGCCGCCCAAGCTAGCCTTGGCCAAGCACGAGATAAGAAAAGCAAAGAGGAATAATGAACTGAAGGTAGCAAGGGAAGCAAAGACAAACCCCAAGGGATTCTTTCATATATATCAAACTAAAACATGAGGAAAGATTGGACCAATACAGTCAGACACCGGCGAGCTAACTGATAATGACGAAGAAATGATCAATAATCTGAATATTATAATAATAATAATAATAATAATAATAATAAATTAAAAATAATGAATAAAGTAGATAAAAATTATAAAAAAATAAAAAAATAACAATAATAATAATAAACATAAATAAATACAAAACGAAAAAAACAATAGTGAGGAACGATATACAGTATGTTTGTTGTGTTGTCAATAGTAAGAGAAACAATTGACACCCTGCAATTGTGTGCAAATGAGGCAGAAAGTCAGATCAGCAGCCTGGGACTTGGTCACAATTTTTGTGGTGCCATATGGCAGCAGGGTCTACTAGTAGACAACACATAATTATGCTTCCAATATCTTCCCAGGCGGTAGTACCTCCCTCAATGATAGCTGCCTGCAGGTCTCAATTGTTTCTCTTACTTGACAACACAACATACATATAGCGTTTCTCACTATTGTTTTTTATAGTTCTTTATTATTATCATCATTATTATTATTATTAGTGTTATTATTATTATTGTTATCATTATTATTTTATTTTACTTTTTATTATAAATTTTATTTACTATGAATAATTATTACATTTTTCCCGGTTCCCGTTGTGGGTCAGTGACCTGTGCCCGGGTGAGTTAATCCCCGTAAAAAAAAAGGAAAAAAAAAAGACAGAAATAGGCATAAACAGCAACATAAGTAAAGTTGCTGATGACACTAAAAATAGGGAGTAAAATTCATTCTGACGTGGACTCCGCAAAGCTACAGAAAGATCTAAAAAAAAAATTCTTATGGTCTGAGAAACGGCAGGTGAAATTAAATGTGGACAAATGTAAAGGACTTAGTGTAAACAGAGAAACCAAATCCCAGGTGAACAACGATGTTGTAGAGAAATCCGAATGTGAGAAAGATTTAGGAGTAATGATAAGTAGGGATCTTAAACCTAGTAAACAATGTGTATTTGCTCAAAACAAGGCTAACAAAGTACTTGGGTTCATACAAAGCCTAAGGAGTGTTAGTTACAAGACTAGCGAGGTCATCCTAAAACTATATTTTGCGCTTGTGAGACCTCACTTGGATTACGCAGTTCAGTTCTGGTCACTGTACTACAGAATGGATATAGAATCCCTAGAAAGAATTCAGAGGAGAATGACAAGACTAATCCCAGGCATTAGGAACCTCGAGTACAGAGACAGGTTAAAGCATGTTAATCTGCACTCCCTCGAGAGACGTAGAGTGAGGGGCGATATGATCGAGGTGTATAAATGGAAGTCAGGGCTAAACAAAGGTGATATAACAAATGTACTCAAAATAACCAACTAAGTGCGAACTCTTACCAATGGTTTTATATTCGACAAATTTAGATAGAGGCGCGAGATAGGTAAACATTGGTTTGGAAATAGAGTAGTGGATGAGTGGAACAAATTACCAAACATCATCATTAACTCGAATACGCTGGATAGCTTCAAACATAGGTTGGATGGATATATGAGCGATAGGAGTTGGGTGTAAATGGGACTGCCCAGTATGGGCCAATAGGCCCGCTGCAGTTTCCTCCATTCTTATGTTCTTATATCCCCAATTTTAATCACCACATTTCTGATGTTTTCTTTTTCGAACTCGTCCGTACTTCTTCCTGCACAACATCTAACCATTCATTACACGAACCACGTCCGCCCTCACAAGAAATACTGCTACTAACTACTGTACAGGTAATCACAATTAAACGACAGTAGTTGCTCCTTACTACCTCTTCATCTCAGATGATCTTACTTTTAATTTATCTTCTCTACGGCTACTTCTATGGTTTATGTAAGTAAGAAATTCAATCCAACATTTCGGTGGGACATCATCACGGGATCTTCCTACAGCACAATATCTTTAATCGTATCGGACATGACTTAATACAAAATTATGTCAATACCACTTGCACTACTTCTTTCTTCAGGTGCCAAGAAAAAAGTAATTCATTATTATTATATATTATTTTTTCACGTGTTAACACCACAAACTTGTATTTTATGTTTTCCAAATGCTTTAACATCAAGATTTCTGATGCTGTCGTTTTCGTCTTCATTTCACTTTTTATGGGCTCCCAATTTCTCTTGTCTGACTTAGTTATCTTTATCAAACATTAATGTTAACCTTAAGTAAGAATATACACGTTCAGTTGTTACTTACTTTCTCGGAGGCGGGCGAGGAGGAGGTGCAACTGAGTACCTGGCGAAGGGAGGGTCAGCAGCTGCCCGCCGTGACGTACACACGCTGCCACAGCTTCTGGGTATGTCAACTCTTCTCCGCCAAACCAGTAGCAACCAAGTCCCACTTTCTCCCAGTCTAATCTACAGGTTTCTGTCAAATTTAATAAATGGTGTTTGTGACTCAAAAACATATACACTAGTATTATTTTTGGTTATTTTTGGTATGCCATTAGTAAAGATTATGAATATTTGTCGTGAATGTTATTATTATTTTTTTCAATAAATTTATCGACATCACTATCATATCCGTCAAACTTACAAATCCAAGCTGAGTGTTTTATGTCAAGTGATAGAGAACATCCCGTAAGCTAAAAATATCCAATCACCGTACATGGTTGATAATTAAAAGAAAAAATCTCCCAGAGCATGTTCGACTGTCAGTTTTGAGAAAATAATATGAAATTGAAATTTGTAGAAATTTCACAATCTTTCGAATATAATTAAAAAAAAACCTATAGGTATTCAAGTTTGGCTTGTTTTATTTTAGTCGTCACGGCCCTGTTGCTTGGCCACCTCAATCGCCTTGACATCTATTTGTGGGGTCAAGTTAAAAGTAAAGTGTATGGGTACCAACTCGCGAGGAACTGTGGCGCCAAATGCAAAACAGTGCCACAAGCATTCATAAAACCTCTGAAGTTTTCGATCGTATACGAGTCACAGTCTCTTGTGATGGAATGAAGCCTGCATTCAGGAAGAGGGCCGGAACTTTTGAAAATTTACTGTAAAATCCATATCACATTGCATATGATTGTAAATAAATTGTGCTAACAACACGGGATATTTCATTTAGCTTTTATCACATTACAGCCTCAACCGTCATGTGTTACAACTCCTAATCTATGGGGTATTGACAGTATGGTCATGGAGTCAATTATCCTTATGTATATCTCAGGAATACAGCTCAGACTTATGAAATGCATTTCCAAATATATATATATATATATATATATATATATATATATATATATATATATATATATATATATATATATATATATATATATATAAATATATATATAAAATATTCAGAAAATTTAATGTGATATTTAGAGACGTTAGAACAAAAATGACTGATCTGCCGAACAGGGAAACATGAGTAGGCCAGGCTGAAACACCCACGCCTCTTGGAGAGTTAAAACAAAGGCCTCCAAGCAATGCCCTCAGTCAGGGGGTGGAAGCATTTTGAACTAGGCCTATAGAAAATTAAATGTACTTTATTGAATTAATTTAGACACGATTCATGAAGTTAAGGGACACTTATAAAATTTAAAGTTATTGTGGATAGTTTCCCAGTCTAAATATGTTATGTGTGTGCCAAAGATACTATTAGAAATATGAGAAAGATGACGTCATGGGCGGGGGGGGGGGGCTGGCGAGCGCCATGATGGATGCCGAGGGTGATCCTGTCTCAGTCAGCGCAGGTCAATGACCAAGGTGGACGTCTACTACGCATTCTGCCAAGGAAAACGACCACGTGGCCTCGTCCCTTCCTGCTCTTTTCATCAGTGTTGCAAGTAAGTCGTTATTCGATCTCAGACAGTGTTTAGATAGAGCAGAAAAGAATTTAACAGTAGTTAACAAAGCGCTCCTTTTGCAGGGTTACGAGAACTCACTTGATTGGTAATCTGTGGTTAGTGGCAGTGGTGGTTTGGAAGATATAGCTGGCAACGCACGAGGTGAACAGGTGTCTCTGACGACTAACTACTGGGACCAGCAGCCGCACTTTGGTCAGTGGTCGATCTGGTTCATAAAATCTCCCCACCTTGGTTCATACAACACCACATCTCTTCAGTCAGTCAGTGAAAAATCTTACTAACGGGAAAGTAGAGCCCCTCCCTCAGCTGGGCAGGGTTTACTTGGTTGTACTCTGAGCTGGCCTACTAGGCGGGATGACGGTCGCTCTCTTCCTGTCCATGAAGTACTGGGAGCAAACTGAGTGCAGACTGAGTGAATGGAAGGTCACATGCTGGGACCGGGAGTTCCAGTAGTTACATAGAGACATTCATCTCCTCAGTATTGGGTGTATATGATTAAAATAACCAAGTCCAGGTGTGTAATCAACGTTCCTCATGGTTGATTGCACACGTGGGACGTAAGGGCTCCTCTTCAAAAATTTGTGAAAGGCTGTAGCACCTTAGAGTATGGGTGTATTCTAAGCATATGTGTGAAGCATGTTACGGGTGATGGTGGTGAAATGTGATTAGAATAACCACGTCCAGGTGTGAGATCAACATTCCTCATGGTTGATTGTACACGTGGGACGTAGGAGTTCCTCTTAAAAAATTTGTGAAAGGTTGTTAGTACCTTAAAGTACGGGTGCATTCTGAACTTATGTGTGAAGCATGTTACGGGTGTTGGTGGAGAAATACACTCGTGACTCCTGAAACCTAGAAAGAGTAATGAAAAACAGAGGAGCACCCGCCTGCCTGACGGGTCATGAGTGATTTTCTCGGTTTCTTGTGAATGCCTGTCACTTGGCAGGTTAGTAGTTACAACCTTCGGGTTCTGTGTAGTTAGGACAGTGAGGACTATAGTATATTGTGGGTCATCCCAGACAGGCTATGAGTGATCCATGTTCTTGTGTAGTATGACTAAATCGGGATTTCTATTCCTCAGTGATTGCTATAATTTTGTCGGATGCACTTAAGGCCATTTCATCGGTGCAAGTAATATTTTTTAATGTTTTATGTGCCACTAAGTGATGTAGGATGTACGAAGGAATTGTTTCAGATGAGTTCCTCTTTCTGGTGTCTCTTCTGGTGTAGTAGTACTGCTGCATTAGTAGATCTTTTCAGATGCAATTAATCTTATAAAATTTTTTTGATACCATGTATAACTTCTGTTTCCCATTGTAGTGTTGTAAGGCACACTAAGAAGTACTCTAGTGCTTGTGTACTATTATTCATTCCGCTAGTAGAGTTGGAAGGAATAGAAGTATTATCTTTTACCAGTGCGTCTCATTAACCCCAATCACAGGTACTAGCTTTTCCACGGTCACGGAAAATACTTTTATTAAGTGTGTTTGTACTGGTTCGGGATTTCTCTGAGGGGCGCTTCCACTGCATCACCATCCAATATAACTAAAAACAAAACAATAACTAGTCGTGAGATTTCGGACCGGTTACAACTGGTAGCAGAGCGCAGTTTATTCGTGACTGATAGTTCTGTGGTTGGGATAATGAACGCAATCATGGATTGGCTAGAAACGGGAGAGAGTGTAACCCCAGTTCTACTCATACTCGCAACGGGGATTGGCTTTTGTGGTTGACGGTACGGATGTACCTGGAGAGAAGGAGAGACAGCCAGGGGTTAGTACAGCTGAGAGAGGAGTTCGTAGAACTAAGAGGGGAGTATCTGGCAGGGGTGAACAAAATCAAGGGGGGTATCAGGAGTACATTGAACAGTTAAAGGAGGAAGTCGGGGGGGGGGTATCAGGAACACATTGAACAGTTAAAGGAGGAAATCAGGGGGCGTATCAGGAACACATTGAACAGTTAAAGGAGGAAGTCAGTGGGAGTACCAGGCAGGTGAACAGAATCGGGGGAGATCAGGATCACATTGAACAGTCAAAGGAGGAAGTCAGGGGGGAGTGTCAGGCAGGGGTGAACAAAATCAGGGGGGAAGTATCAGACACAATTGCAGCAGTTAAGGGGGGAGTATCAGACCCAACTGGAAAAGTTAGAGGGGGAACATCGACAACACCTAGCTCAGTTGGGGGATGCACTAGACAGGGTAGAGACACGGCATCAAACACAGCATGAAGAGACAATGTGTGAGATTAAGAGGCACAATACTAGAGTGGGAGTTAGTTTCGGGCCCTGGTTGACCATGTCTAAGTTCGACGGTAGGACAGAGTCAGAGATAGGGAAGTGGCTAAGAGAGGTTGACCGAACTCTCAAGCTGATTGACGGAGACGAAGCCGCCCGAATACAATTCAGAGTAAAGCATCTTGTGGGGCCTGAGGCAGATTGTGTATACAATGCACGCAGAGATTGGGAAACGGTAGATGAGTTAACTAGCTACTTGACGCAGCTCTACGGCGAGCACGTGGACGCGATCACCGCCATTCAAAGGATCGTAATTCGGAAACAGAGGAGCGACGAAACGTTCCTGGAATATTATGATGCAATGCTCGATTTGAATGACGAATTGGGCCGCAATGGACAGAAATATGATGATGTCATGTTGGGAGGTGCTATCACTTGGGGACTGAAGGAGTCTAAAAGTCGTGAGTGGTTAGCAGGGGAGATCAGAGCGAGTCCCCACCGCAGTCTAGAGGAGTGGATCACGGGGCTAAAAGAGGAGGAAAACAGACTAGAGTTCTTGAGTAGGGAAGCACCGGACGGTGAACACGGAGAGGCGCCTGCCGGACGACTCAGGGTTAACGGAGGAGAAAACGGTCAGCAGGCTGGGGGCCCGAACCCACCGAGGTGCTACACGTATGGACAGGAGGGACACCTCAGCTTCCACTGCAGGAGCAGGTATGGACCAGGAGAAAACGCCCCAAGGGGATACATGGCCAATGGCCAGTATCGGACTGGAGGTGACAGCCAGAACTGGCGGTCGGGAAACGGCCAGGACCAGACAGTCCCCGCCAACCGCCCATGGCCCAACCAATAGACTACACCGGCGATGTTACGAACCAGGAGAGAGAGGACCCGTGGTCAAACGTGGTCTGTATGGCCAATTTAATCATGACAGAAGGTACCTTGAGGCTGAAAGCAGTGTCCCAAGGTCTCGGTGCTGGTAGCGGGTCGTGAAATGTGGGGTCTAGCAGATACTGGGGCAGAAGTGTCGTTAATTGATGAAAACTTCTACCGTAGAGAGCTGGAGACTGCAGGTGTGTTGTTACAACCCACTCGGGTGCGGGTAAGAGGGGCGTCGGGGTCCTCCGTGCCGTGTGTGGGGTGTATTCGGATCACTATGGTCGTATGTGGGGTGGAAGTTACAGATGTGGGGCTGCTGGTTTGTCCAGGGATTGAGTCCCGTGGTAAGGGTCAGGCGCATGTTGGTTTGTTAGGCATGAATGTGTTGGGGGAGGTCGCAGAGATCTGGTTGCACATGTACCACTTGTGCAGGGGAGCCAGAAGC